TTATTAATAGCGGGTATTTCCCAGACACCCACGGCTGTGCTCTGCTCCGTTCCTCTGGCATGTTTCCCCACGGAGCAGGAGAGCCCAGAGCCCCCAAAAAAGGCAGAGGGACCCCGGAGCAGAGCTGATGTCTGTCGCGGGAGGCACGAAGGATAAAAGAGGTTAAACATGGAGCCCTGCTCTTGCTGGGACTGATGCAACACTGCTGACTTTTCACCCTGGTTTGAGCTCTGATCTCTTCGCCCTGGGATGACACAGATATCGATGAGTCCATGTGTGTGTTTAAACAAAGAGCAAACATCTGGAGCACCCAAAAAATGCCAAACTTAAATCCAATGCCAACCAGTGGCAAACATAATTACAATTTGGCCCTGTCTGTCTCCTGGAACGAGCCGTGCATTTCTTTCAGCGTGGGATGCACTGACGGATACAAGTTGTGCTCTGGCAAGTTTGTAGAAAATCCAAGTGTTGCCATGTGCACAGCGTCCAAATGTTTGGGACTCTGGCATTCGCACTCCTACTGGCTTCCATCACACGGGACAAATCCGGGGATACAGCGGGACTGCTCTCCCGTGGCCACAGACTCAAACCGAGCGGCTCGCAGCAGAGCACACCACGGATTTGCACAGATCCCCCGCGTGGGTGATGCTCATGAAGAAGACGCTAAAATGACCAAACTCTGCTTCCTGCCACGTGCTGCAGCGCTGGAACCTGAATCTCCCAGGGGTACAGAGGGGACATCTGCAGTCTGGAGCCAACGCCCTGGCCACCATCCCTCTGAAGTGAAATCAAGAGTGAGAACCAGGGCCATTGGCGGGAGCATTGGTGTCAACGTCGCTGTGAAAGGCTCTTACCCACAGCGCTGCATCTAGTGGTGGGACCAAGGAGCGGTGTGTCGTTAGATGTGAGAGAGGATCTGCAGGAATTCAGGGTTTAAGGAAAACCCACCCCATCATCAATAAAAAACAAGTCTGGAGGGCAACAAGAAAAATGACAACAGAGGATGATGGTCTTGGCTTCAACAGAGGATGATGGACTCAGCTGATATCACAGGATCACAGAAGGGTTTGGGTGGGAGGGACCTTAAATCCCACCCAGTGCCACCCCCTGCCATGGGCAGGGACACCTCCCACCAGCCCAGGTTGCCCAAAGCCTCATCCAGCCTGGCCTTGAACCCCTCCAGGGATGGGGCATCCACAGCTTCTCTGGGCACCCTGGGCCAGCACCTCACCCCCTGCACAGCCAAGAATTTCTTCCTTCTACCCACCATGTCTATGAAATGCTTCAATTCTGAGCTGCTGTCGAGTGCCCCGGCTAAACCGGTGGCTGTTCAGAAACCACCCTGGCCAGGCAGTACCTGCGATGAGTCTGTGCCGGCACTGGTCCACCAGATGCTGGCAGTACTGGATTTCTGCTTTCAGGTCCTGCAGCTCGGCATAAGCAGATCTGTACTCTTCCTTCAGGTCTTTCAGCTTCATGATGAGCAGAAACTCCTTCTCATCAATGATGAGCTGTCCTTTCTCATCAACATACTCTCCTGGAGGGTAAGAAAAGGAAACAAAGGTTTCGCATGAGGGTGGGGAGCGATGAAGAACAGTCATTAAGCTCCGAACCACACGGTAGTTACCAGCTATACTGAGGTTAACCACACAGTTAACATTTCCTTAGACAAGCTTTCGACAAATAGAGCCTTGGAGTGGTGTGGGGCAGAAATGACTGCTGAACTCCTGAACCCGCTCACACACCAGTCCTCCCCGAACTGGGACGCGTGCAGAGGAAGAGGAGGGACTGGGCACTGCAGATGCTGGAGGGTATCTCAGATAAAACCCCCCTGGGCAGCCACAGTAACGGGTTTTGAGACAAAGGGTTGGGGAAAGTTAATCCAGTGCTACTTTCCTATGATAAACGTCTCTTGTTCTTGGTTTCCCTCAAATCACTTTATTCCTGTGGTTTCCAGCATCCACAATAAACCACCAGTTGGTAGATGTGATCATAAAGAGCTAAAAGAAGCAACAAGTCCGTGAGAAGGCAGACCCTCACTTCCGTATGGACTGAAGGCGATGTGCTCATCATCTTGCAGGACAAGACCCTACGGGCAAGGGGCTGCTTGCAAAGCAGGGTCATAAAAACCTCTCTATGGGAAGAGAAATGGAAACCAGTCGAGCAGCATTCACGCTGGCTCTGCCTCTCCAGCCCTCCCGCCCCGTGCTGGTGACCATTTCTTTTCTCTCTCATTCCCTCTTCTTCCCTGCTAACTGCCTGGCAGTAGTCAAGGCTGTAGTTTCACAGAACTGAGGTTTTTTGCTGTTGTCCCTGCCTGCAGGGAACACCACTGCTGCTTCCTCACCGTCACACACAGAGCACTCCAGACCACTCTGCTCTTAAAGCCATTTGTTTCAGATTTCTCTCCGCACCCGGAGGCGTTTCTGCTCTGCTCCTCTGCAGAAGGCAGTAGCACCAGCCCTTGGGAGCACAAACCTGCCACGCTTCCTGGTCTCATCGAGGCACATCCCACCTAACAAACATCTTGCCGCAGCAAAGTAGGAAGGCACTTACCCTGTTTTTTCCTCTAGTACTAGTTAGGATTTGGTCTTTTGTAAACCAGCCCGTAATTTAGATTAAATCAAGCAAGAGGAGCTGCGACACATCTCCACCACAGGAAGGGCAAGCCTGCTACCCGTGATTTCTGCGCTGTCCTGAGATGCATTGCTCAGCAGTACGCTGCCTAATGCATCAGAGTGTGGGGTGAGGTGTGGAGGGCTCAGGTGGAGCAAGCAGGTGGCAAACCACAAGGTTTATGCAGAGCCAGGGCATAAAGCCCAGCTTGCCTCGCTGCCTGGGCAAGTAGCAGTGGTGGGGTAAGTGGTCTCACCACCAAAACTGCCCTGAAACCAGCAGCTCCCCTCTTCTGCCCGATTCTTGCTGGGCAGTGACTTACCCTGCTGCCACCGCTCCTGCTTCTGAGCCTCCAGAGCCTCTTTGGTTCCCTCCATCTCACGTTTGATGCAGTTGATCCTCTGTGCTACTGCAATGCTTCGCTTCTTCCTGGCGAGGAGGATGCTTTTGTTCTCCTTAAAGATGCGGCTGATCTCGCTTCCACCCTCCTCCTTAAACTGCTCAAAGGCCACTGGCTTGGATGGAGGGGAGCTGAAAAAGAATCCAAAGAGAACACCCAAGAGATGTTTAAGGATCTCGCTGTGCTGGCTGCACCCTGGTACCATCTCTGCCAGCCTTCATGCCCACTTTGCCCCAGTTTTACTCCCAGAATAAAGAATTATTTACATAGAAACCACATTCCTCAGGAGATGCCTCAGAATTGAGTTTTCCCTGGAAAGTGGACCTTTCACGGGTTGAATTTTCAGAAAAATAATGAATGCTGTTCTTCCCTATTGTTAAACAAAAACACCTCTGCTCTCTCCTCGCTGGATTCCCAGCACAGACCAGTCACCTCTGCCCACCAAACCCCGCAGCTGCGGGTGTTGACCAGCTCTACAGTGCTCCCAACCGTGGTTTTTAAGTCTTGCCTGTTTAGGAAGACTGAATTCAAAGTGGCGTGTGTCAATCCTGACTTTTCTATGAGATGGCTTTGATGCAAACGTGTCCCCATGAACTCTTACTTCAACACAAACCACGCTGGGCAAAAGGAAAGCCTTGCAGGAGAACATCACCCTTCCACAGACGCTGCACAAGGTTATTCTTGGCGAGCGGGCTGGATCTGGTACCAGAAGGGAGATACAAGTCTCCCCGTTCCTCAGTCCAGACTGGTCAAAGCAAAACTCTTGACACATTAAGGTGCTTCAGGAGTGAATTCTCCTAGGACAGCTTCACCCTGCGATGCTCTCCCCGGGCTGCAGGGACAAGCAAGGACTGCTCGTCCACAACTCACCATACTTCAGAGCTGCATTGCTTGGAGCTTGAGAGCTCTCAGCAAGAGAAGATGGCTGGTGATGGGAAAGGTGGTGTTCAGACTGGTTTGTGTGGGGTCCTGGCTGAGCTCCTGGGAGTTGAAAAGCTTCCTGCCATTGTTCATCCTGCTGGAAAGAGTCATCTCGGTGCCCTTAGTGTTTTTGACCCCATCAGCTCCATCCAGAACGAAATGCAGATCAGCGGTGCCCTCCCATGCGACGTTCTTATCATTGTCCAAGCAGATGACTGGCACCTTGCTGCATTTTTGACCATCCTCCGCTCTTCTGTCTTGGTCTGGCACCTCCTGCCAGGATCCTGTGCAGCTCTCAACCCACTGCCACCAGTGTGTGGGGTTTTGTGGCTGGACATGAGGTCTCTCTGGACTTTTACAACTAACCAAAGGGTGAGGAGCGCTGCAATTTTCAGAGGTTTCACACTTCATAGAGCAACTGATCGGGACAGAGCTCAAAGCAGATGGAGAAGATGAGTGCCACCAACATCCTTTGGTACACAGGCTGCCCAGACAGCCACTGCTCTCCTGCAGTGTATTGCTGCATCCGAGCAATGAAGATCTCGGAATCTCTCCTCCTTCCTTGGAAGCAGCTAGTTGTACTGGGGAATGGAATCTCTCCAGTGTAAGCCACCCTCTGGCAAAGGGGATACACTCCCTTACAGGGAAAGCTCACCTGGGCCGCTGGGAATCATCCTCGGAAGCTGAGTTTGAGAGCTCTGCATCAATATTGGCTGTATCCTCGTTCCCTGCTCCTTCTTTCACATCCAGGTCCTTGGTGGAAATTATTGTCTGACCTTGTGATGGTAAAAGCTCATCCAGATCTTTCCCAGAAATAAAGTTGTCGATTTCTTCCTTCCTACCGGGGAGGTAAGATGAGACAGATTAATTCATTTCTTCATAATAAGAAATTATTATTAGCTCACCTCCACAAGCAACACCAGCCTTGTCTGCACGGGATAGCGTGACTTCCAAGAGATACAACAAAGCACTTGCCAAATCTCCTTCCATCTCCCTGAAAAAAGAACTGCACAGAGGAATGCCTGGTGTCACGGGGATACTAAAGCCTTGGTGGTTCCTCTCCCCCTAACGCAAGGACTTTGGGGAAACGTCAGGGAGGAACCAAGCAGATGCTCTTGGCCACAGAAGCAGTTGTAGAAAATGCTGATGCAGGGACCTCACTTCTATAAATTGAGCTTTCTCTGCTCCGAACTGACTGCTGGTTCCCCCTGCCCTCCCAAAATCTCTTCTCCATGTCTGCTCCTCTGTCCACTTCCCTTTCCACTTAGCAGATCTCCTTCTACCTAAAGAAAAACTGCAGGATTAACGTGTCTTCTGATGCCATCACAGGACTCTTCTCCTGCCTGCGTGTTCAACTCCCCAGCTCCCACCCCAGGCTAACGCTCACACCCTGTGCAGCGCTCCGTGGCCTTGGTTCAGCCACAACAGGCACCCAGACAAACCGTTTGGAATAAATCTCCTCCATAATTTTGGTCTGCCCCACCACAGGCACCCCTACCGTCCCTCTGAGGTGTGGCTGCTGGCCACAAGGACACCGCAAACCCTGGAATGTCATCCTTGAGGAAACACACCAGTTCCACATGCCCGATAAGCCAGCTTGGGCTCTGCCTTCCTCCCCGGGCTGCCCATCACGCCTTGACCAGACGCAGTCACGGCGATGTTAGCAGAGAAAACGGAGAGCTGGCTGGCTGCTCGGCTCACCTGGGCTGCTCACTGATTCTCCTGGATTTCCTCCTCCTGCCATGTCCGGATGAAAAAGGAGTAGTTCTAGTCCCAGAAGTCTCTTCATCCTCCTCCTGCCCCAAATGGCTCTCCAGGTAAACCACACCTGCCTGGGAACAGGGGGAAAGAAAACACGGAGCAGGCAGGTGCTTAGACCACGAAAGCTCTGCAGCCCTTGTCCAGCAGCTCTTCCATCCTGCCCTACAATCTCATCTGAACATCTGTATTCACTACCACTTATTTCAGGGAAACACGTGGATAAGAATGAAGTTAAAATTAACTTCCCCATCCCTGCAGGGGTTCAAGGCCAGGCTGGATGAGGCTTTGGGCAACCTGGGCTAGTGGGAGGTGTCCCTGCCCATGGCAGGGGGTGGCACTGGGTGGGTTTTAAGGTCCCTTCCCACCCAAACCATCCTGGGATACTATGAAAATAGGGCCAAAAATTATCCTCAAATTCATATGTCAAAGGTTTCAGCCACTTAGGGGGAGAATAACTTGGGGCTGGTGTCACAGAAATAAAAGCAGCCTCAGAAGTCTTCATGTAGTGAAGATACATAAGATTATCGACATTTCTGATATTTCTCATATTGCTTCAACCCTAAAGCAGAGGAGCCATTAAGCACCAAAATCCACCTAAAACAGGTTTCACTTTTTTTTTCTCACTTCTTTAACTCAAGACTTGAATAGGCCTGTTAGAGACTATGTGTTTCGCTGTTACACTAATGCTTTGCCTTTTCCCTTGTGCCTTTCTTCCAAAAAAATCCAAAGCATCTGCAGTTACACCACAGGACGAGTCTAGAACTCTGCGTAACACGTAACAGTTATTTTATCCACTTCACCGGGTGAAACCCAGAAAATAACCACTTCAGGGAGAAAATATTTCACAGGTGGAAATCAGTAATGAAAAATAGATGATAAACCATGAGATAGAGCCCACACCTGAAGTGATGGGTTACATACGATGTATGGACCTCTGCTCCAGAAATGCTAAGGATTAAAAGAGGGATCTGAGCAGAGGCAGGTGATATGACCCAGTCCTTTACAACCGACTGGCAGACAGGTCACCTTCTAGTTTCTGTTTTCTTCATCCCCATGTAATAAACTATTCTGTTCAGATAACGGCTCTAATCCTCTTGTTAACTGGTGCCCCTCTGCTCCGTGCAAGCTTTTTGACGCACTCATCCCATTAACATTGCTGAGCTTCAGATTTCAGCGGGGAAAAGTGGAGAACTTGGGGCAATTCCCAGTTCTGCAGCAAAGGAACCAATTCTAAGCTGGATTCTGGGCAGGGCTCAAGCACCAGGCGTTACCTGCTGAAGGGCAGCAACAGCAACAAAGTCATTTTTGTCTACCAGAGCGTACTTGCTTCGTATTCTGGCCTCCGCTTCCCGCTCCTGTTTACTAAGGGAGAAAACAGCCTCTTACCATCGTGTCAAGGAGGATTATTTCATATGCAATACCTACTAACATCAGATCTCCAAAGCAAGCCGTGTTCTACCTGCGATCTCATCCCCAACACCCCACCTTCCTCCTCCTCTTCTTCCCCATGACCCTTGGAACCTTTTCCCATTCTCCTCTTCCTCTCTTTTTCTATCATGTCCCTTTAGGCTCCTTAGATTTGGGAGCTTTTGGATGGCTATTGGAATAATTAGCATAACCTTTTAATGGTCCAGATCAAATCATAATAATGCCTCTGTTCGGTTCCATCACCGTACTTTAACCTAGTGATTGCCAAACTGAGCGATTTTTCACTGAAAGGGAAGAAGTAAAGCCTTGTCAGTAGCTTAAATACGCTGTGCAAGACTGGAAATCCTTAGAGAATCGGGAAGTTAAAAAAGGCTGAAGCCCAGAGCTGCAGAGGCTGGGGAGGCAGGGAGTGGGTGGGCTGCCCCAATATCCTTATTCTTCTTTCTTCTCTTCTATTTCATTCCACAGAAGCTGCTTATCCTCATTTTTAGGATTTTTTCCCAGCCTGTCATTCACCTTCAGCCCAAAAAAACAGCTTTTGTCACCCGCTGGTGGCATTTCCAAATAGCCACTCTCACACTTTCTCCCCGGTGAAGTGACTCCCTGGAAACAGCCACCTATGCCTTGATTTCTTAAAAATAAAAAAGAAAATCTGAGAACTTTTCAATGCTGGTGTGGTGAGACCAGTCCGTATCATTTCATCCGACAGAGTTTGATTTTTCTTTTGGTCTGTTTGCAGACTGCCTGGCACGACGGAGATACGCTCCATGACCAGGGATCCTGCACAGTTTCTGCCCAGTGATGGTATTTCTGCCAACCAGACTTTTTAACCGGTGAGGTTTACCATCAAGAGCCCTTGCACATGACTTACAAGCACTAGAAGGTTAGAGGCAATAGTCTTCTTGTGCAAAGGACAGCAGAATTTGTCCAGAATTGTGTTTTTATTCCCTGTACTTCATAATGATTCTTCACCAACAATGTCATATCCCAGAGAGAATTTCTCAGCCTCTCTGTGAAACGCATCGACCTCGGATCTCTTACCTTACGATCAGTCTGAACTGCTTGAAGACCTCCTGGATTTGCCTGACGTTCACAATCTGGGGAAGAGAGATGAAGAGATGGTTCAGCGGTTCTGTGCTGGGGGCAGCTGTCCTGGCTCAAATATTTCAGATGGTCAGGACTCTGCTTTCCACCTTTACCCTGCACTTGGGAGTCAGGCTGGAGGGGGGTACATTGGATATCCGATGAGAGAGGAAGCTGACAGACCGGTAAATTCCGTGGAGAGCAAAGCCACCAGGGTAATGAACTATTTACGATAATTTTACAAATGACACAGACGGCATCTCCCGACCTTGCCGATGGTGATGCCACTTCTCTTTTCACTGCTGCCCAAGACTGCCCGAGTACTGGGACCTGCCAGAGCACTATCTTCAGTCCTCTCACCCGCGATAACAAACCAGTGCCATCGAGCCATGCTGCTCTCTGTGCTTTGGAGACGACGAGCAGAGGCATGGACAAAGTCTGTAGCTGAGCCAGAATCCATGCTGAGCTCTCCCAAGATCCGAAAGACCAGAGCAAGCCAGGAAATGCCCTATCTCTGTTCTCAACCTTCTAAAAGCTCCTTCAGCACCACTGAAGACATCCTTCCCTCTGTGAAACTCCTTAGTCCTTCTCTGCACATTTTCCAGGCCAAGTAAAACACACCTTCTCAGAAGCCCTTGTTCCGCTCTGCTCCCGCCTGCTGGAGGGAGAAAACAGGGACTTGGAGAGAAGATAACGAGCACGTGAAATGAGAGGGAGTGTCTCAAGTGTTTTCGTTAAAACTAAAGGGTTATCTAACTGTTTGGAAAACAGTCTTCCAGCAATTTCTGCACTGTTGTCGCCGTGGTTTCTGTTCACAACCAAACTAAACTTTACAGTAACTCTGAGCGCGCATTTATAACTTTCATTTTCTCACTTTTTTTTTTTCTTTTTTTTTTTTTTTTTTGCTTTCCTGTTTGCCCCCCACAGGAATATTTGTGTACGCAGACTTGTGCTGCTTCTTTTCACAGTCATTTTGCAGTCAACGGGTGGTTTCAAGTTGAGGAACCCTGCCTTAACGAACCTCTCTCTAAGACATCGGACTTATTTTGGCAACACACTTTGCAAAGATTTGGTTTGACATTGTCAGGGCAAAAAATTTTGACACTAATTCTTTAAAGAAGCTCTAAATAAAGCAGTTCAAAGGGTTTCAGGACTGAGAAAAAATTTTCTCAAGCTTCCAAAAAAGCAAAAATGGAAGGAAAACAAGGAGGCAGCGCTTAATACACAAAAAAAAAAAAAAAAATTCAATTACAATTCTGTAGTGCTTTGGGGTTATAGACAGCCTCTTCAGAAGACATCTGCACTGCTTCTGTCTTGGAGTAAAATGGGGTGGAATCGGTATTTAAGTGCTTCTCTACTAGAAAGGTACTTACATCAATCTCATCAATGGCTCCTTTTAGGTATCTACGGACTTGAGACTTAATCTCAGCTATCTGGACGTCGGTCAGGGGGTCATAAGTCACCAAAGAACCATTTGCCTAAGAAAAAACGTGAACCACTGAGTATCAGTGAATTACAGAAGAGCTAAGCCAGTACCAGTCTGACACTGCTCCACTGTGCCCAGGGAAGACTTGGGTTTAATTTCTGATTGTGACTTGTCACCATCTGAGTCGATAGACACGGGACTCGGGAGCACGCTGAAAGCAAGGCGTTCCCCTTCACATTTCAATCAAACGAGGAAAGCTTCTAGAGTCTGAAAAAAACATCTCCAGGGCTTGGGGACTGAAGCTACAGCACAGTCTCGCTGCAGGAGATCTGCAGAGCTCTGTCTAAACCCCGAAAGACAGTGCTGGAAGCAGAAGGAAGAAGAAAATGCCACTGGACACTGAGTTAACTGATCCTGCTGCAAAGCAAGGATGATGACAAAGCCTCCCGCAGGTCCCGTCTAAGCCGGTGCAGGCTGGTCCTTACCAGGCTGTCGTGCATGGCCAGCTCCTGCTTCAGCAGCCTGATCTCCTTCTCCAAAATCTTCACTGTCCCCTAATGGGAAAAGAAAAAGGATGAGCAAATGACCAAGTGCTATTGGAGAAAAAAACCTGCTGAAAAGCATCATGAAAGTGGCTGCTAGACGCTGTCACGGAGGCAGCACAAGAAGGGCCAGCTGGTTTTGAATCTGCTGCTTTGCTGAGCTGGGGCTGCAGGGGCCAGCGAGCTCTGGGGGATGGGATATTATCTTGAAAACAAAGAAGTGTGCAGGCTTCCACTCTGCCCGTCACCGAGCTCAGCAGGAGTTCTGACATGAGCTTTAACAGAGGAGGGAGTCTCCTGTGGTGTGTTTGATTTAATTTCTCCATAACGTGGAATATTTTCAAGCGTTCACTATTGAGCATGGGGTTCCAGAAAGGTGTGGGTACAGAAATCTCCTCGGGATTCAGTGGGAATTGCATGCTGAGCTGCTTTCTAAGTGACCTGCTGAGGATCACAGCACAGCAGCTTCCTCAAACCCTGCTCGTGTGGCTTCTCTTTTCCACTCTACAAATCTCAACAAAAATAAAAGGGACTGAAAAGAGAGTTAGGTGCACAGCTGCCGGAGGAAACTCCCCAGCTGCTTCTCTGGGCGATCAGACTATGAAATCCCGCAGGGTTCTCCCACACCGCACGTGTTACGGATCAGGTCAGTCTAAACTCGTTCTTTGGGCCACCAGTAATTCAGATTTACTGCTGCCAGCTCTGTTTCAGCAATGAGGGTGCACTCAGGACATTTAAAACACTAGGAGCAGTTTCTTTAAATTATGTCCTTGTTTAAGCCCGTGTTGTAACTGTCACCAAAATGTGCTGTTACTAGCAGCAGCGGGGATAATGCTGCGGGTCGGACTGGAGGTGATTTCCCCGCATACCAGGAGAGCAGTCCACAACATGCCATCTCTGCTAAGAGGTGAATCTTAGCCGAAAAATTAAGGATGTGTATGCAATTGGAAAAATTACCACGTGTCAGGGAAGACGTGACCAATTAAATACCAACGAAAGAAAGTTTAATCCTAATCCGTTTTATCACATCCCTAAATTCAGCAAGTGTCAGCTTGGCTGCTGAGTGGTAATTCATGAACTTACTGAATTTCCCTCTGGTTTTTAAGGTCATTATCCTAAATATTAATGAACCTGAGAAAATACGTCTCCTTCCCTTCCCCTTCTCTCCATACCTCTTGGTCGTAGGTCTCGTTGATGACTGGCTCTGCGGTGATGCATTTCATTCTGCTGGCAAAACGAAGAGAAGACAACTGCAAAACAAGGGGGTTAAGGAACTGAGATATTGGCAGGGATATAATTTTCTGAATCCGTTACTGCTTAATCCCATCAGATCCCAGAACACAGCAATACCAAAGCTATTTAACTGCAGGGAGCAGCAGAGGATTTCTCATTCTCTTCCAGTGCTCACTGGTTTCTGTGTGATTAACCAGCTTCTGATGATTTTTTTGGTCTTTTCTGTTCTGCACGTGAACAGCTCGTTGTGTGCCAGGGTGTGATCTCAAAAGTACCCACTCCCATTTCTCATCAATATAACACATCCTAAAAACTCCCAATCACACACCAACGGCCTCCAAGCTTCATTCCTGCAATTGTGGTGTCTCAAGAGGAAGCTCCCGCAGCCTGAAAATCCTCCTCTAGATAAAAAGTATCGCAGCTGCTTCCTCCGTGATAGATTTCTAGTAATTTTATCTATTTCTGCTCTATCGGAACAAACTTGAAGACAAGTGCATAAAAGGTGTCTGTGTTCACTTTTCTGGTTTCAGAGCCTTTGAGAGAAGCTGAGCTATCCAATGTTTGGGATGAATGAGGCAGGATGTTTCGCTGGGACTCCTGCCACAGCCCTCCAGAGACTATTCTTTAAACCCAGTTGCAAAAGTAGCAGGACCAAGAAATTAATTCTGCAGAAATCCACCCAACTTACGGTCTCTTCCACGTGCACAGCTTCTCCACAGGTATTTGCCACGAGGACAGTGTTGCAGTTTCCCCCTGTGAAAAATTAAAAAGAAGGAAAAAAAAAAAAAAGCAAAGAAGATAATTTGGGGGTTTTTTTGTTGTTTCCTTTTCTGGAATGTGTTATATGATGTGCTGACTGAAATAGAGAAAAAGAAGCGCCAAAGAACACAGCCAGCTTGTAACCGTCTCGCTGAAGTTCCCGTGGGTACAGAGATGCAGTGGCACAGAATGAGTTAAGAATGAAGGTAAAATGGGGTTTTCATGTGGCTGTTAATGGGGTAAGAAGATGGGAATACAACCTGTGAAAGCCTGAAATGGGGAAAACTGGCGCAGAGGATTTTAAAAGCCCTCGGTCTACATCTAACAGCGGGGAAGCTGGCAGGACAGAGTCACTGCCTTTCCTAAAAGCACCACGGCTTTGGGTTTATCATCTGGAGCTTGATGCTAGAGGAGGAGCATCCTAAAAGGCTTGTCAGATGCTGAAGATGCTGAGGGTTGGGGTTTTTTTCTGGTGGTGGCTTTTTAAAGTATTCTAAGGAAGGTTTTGTGAATTGCTACTGGCTGGATCAGCGTGGGCTCCGTACTCCCTGGCGTGCCTGCTGTTTTATTTGATGAGGAAAACCAGACATCCTTTGAACAACAAATTAATTCTGTCTGTTTCTATCTTCTGGCCTTAGGACTTGCTATTCTCACTGAAATAACAGTTTTCTAGGAAGCTTTTGGGGCTGTAGCAATGCCCAGCTCTTACCCAGCGAGTCCTTGAGGACGTGCGTGAGCTTGCACTGCCGGAAGGGGATGTGCTCCCGCTTAGGATCAGCCAGGGCAACGATGAGTTGCTCAAGGAACGACAGCGACCTGTTGATGTACGTGGCTTCTTTCAGAACCTGCCCTTCAGACTGTAAGGAAGATCAAAAGACAAAGCTTCCACAACACGTGCTTAACCGCAGAAGAGAGCATTTTCCTTCCCGAGGGCACAATCCTGCTTTACTCCAATTCAGACCCAAGAAATTTGGGATCTAGAGCTTTCTTCAAGTTTTCAGAGACCTCAATTTTTCATTACAAGTCTACCAGGACCACTGGTTTTCCTTCCCAAAGGGTAAATGATGGATTTGTCACGGGGCTGATGTGATTTCTCTTCTGATCAATACAGAATGTCCCTCAGGACCTGAGGAGGTTTCTGTCATTGGGCACTAAAGCTCTAAGAAAGTTTCAACAGTTTGTGACCAGAAGTGGGTCACAGCATTGTCACTCATGGAATGAAGAGGAAAATCTTCTTTGCCTTAATAGTTGATGGCTCTGGTCCTCTGTTTTGTGCAGAAATTATAGACTCAAATTAACCGGGTTAGGTTGGAAGGCACATGCAGGATTGGGCTCGGAAATGATACACAGCACCTGCAACGGACTGAGCACCCTCTGATGTGTTAACGTGACTCACAATTCGTCACAGTCTCTCCTATTTGGATTCTGTTAAGGGGAAAACCCATAATTTCACCTCCACCGTGTTGAGCACTGAAATATTTCTGCCATTACTTACTCCGGTCTTGCTCAGTCTCTCCGAGCCTGCCAGGTCTATTAAGTTGATTTTAGAGTTAATGCATTTGACATCTGAGAAAGCTCTGAAACGAGACTGAGAATAGAATATAAACTGTACTTTCCAGTAGACAAAACTGAAATCCAGTGAAACCCAGACATGTAAAGCTCCTCAGCCATCTGCGCCCCTGGAGCTCTTACCTCAATGTAAATAGTAAAGATGCAATGGGACCGGGATGAGTTTTTATTCAGGGTGTGCTCTGCTATCACCCTGTTGGTCTCACCCTGCAAATGAAGCAAAAATTGAAGACAGTGGTTATAAACTTCTGCATGGGTAGAATAAAGGGAAAACAGAAATCCACACTGTGGTCCGACCTTCGTCCTGCAGAGCCTGGAACACCGAGCAGCGCGTTAGAGCTCTCAGAGCAGGAGCTTTGTTTTTTTACCCAAAGCATTTCACAGCCGTCGGTAAAGGTCACAGTTTACTGTACTAACACCTTTTACTGGAGAGCACGTCCTCTGCATCGCCACTGCCAAGGCTCAGCTCACAGAGCTTTGGAGGAATGCTCAGGCCAGCTCAGCAGCGATACCTTCCTGCCTGCTTCAGTTTCCTGGTGACTAAAAGAGCTCCCCAAGCTTCAAAGGACATCAAGAACTCACACGTATATGACAGGCACCAATCTGTAATGCCTACTTACAGGAACAGAAAGCAACACTTGAGAAAGATGTTGCAAGGGCTTGTTGGGAGCGCCAGTCTACGGCAGAGCTGGCGAGGCAGCAAGGGAAACTGAAAGCTCCACGGTGTAGAAACGTCCTTGTCAACGGGTTTCACAGCCGCCTGGGTCTCAAAGGACAAGGACCTCTGAGAGCTGGAAGGTCAGTGACTGGCTCCACACCCGAGAGCAAGACTGAAGGTCTCTAGGTAAATGCTACCAACCCCACTCCACAAACGAAGAGTCCCAGCATCGTGGGCAGCCTCCTCAAAGCTCTCTGTGACCCAGAACCACAGGCAGAACTCACCTAAGGAGCTGAATGGATCCCCAGGGATCACCTGCACTTCTTCTGTCAACACATCTCCACTTAAGCTGCATTACCATCATCCTTCTACTCTTTCAAAAGAGAATGGGAGCTCCTACGAATCACCGAGGCTAGCTTAGGACGCCCCTGTCCCATGATTATATTCGATATTATTATGGCAAGCCAAAGATTTCAGGACACCAGATGGCCTCCTGCACACAGAACCAACTCTTGATTCCTGTTTTCCTGAAGCACCCACAAGAAAAAGAAAGATCTCCAGTGCTGCCTTCTGTGGTCTCACCTCAATATCTTTCCCCCATCACCTGGCTTGCTCTGGCATACACTAAAACCAGGGTTTCTCCACGGAGATCTTCCAGATTCTCTGCGACAGGGACATTTTCCTGGCAAGAACATGGGCTACAAGGAGTTCCCAGTTCTCCTACCCACAATAAAGAGGACAAAGAGGGTTGAACCTGCCTCCAGGCATCCTGGCCACCCACCTCCTGCTCTCCTGCCTCCTCCCTCAGCTAAGCCAATAAACATAGTGAGAAATATTTGTTTTTTCTTGCCTCAAAAAGGAGATTTAGAGCATCTTCCTCGTGGCTCACTGTATGGACAGATAAGCCCCTGACATAAACACCCTGGGGGCAATCCACCACAGCCAGCTGCGTGTCACTGCTCCCACTGCCTGTCACAGTGGACAGAAGGTCCAGCAAGGTCTCGTTGTAGATTTCCAGGTAGGATATTCGCAGAGTGACCAACGCATCAACGGACTGCGCGGCTGCTTTGAAGACCTAGAAGAAAAAATAGTTTATCCGTGGCGGTGCTGGTTCACAAACAGAATTATTGGCTATTTGTGGCTTTCCACAGAAGCTATTTATAACTTCTTAAAAAAAAAAAGCGCATCTACATGTGCGCAGCTCATTTTGAATGGTGGTTGCCTGAGAGCTGACAGGGCTAAGTCATCAGTTTTTAAATGGTTTCTCAAAAATATTCTCGAAAACAACTCTTTTGCAGGCATGCTTGAGGTACTTTATGCAAGCCAGGAGAATTAAACAGGAACAAGCTCTGCGGATGACAATCAAGCGGAATTCTTTGTTTCAGGCTGTGCGTTATGTCAGCCCCACACAAGTCAGTTTTCTTTGTGGGAGCAGAGAGCACTCTGCGGTATCACTGCCCAGAGATAAGCAGAGCTGCTCCCTCAGAGCAGCAGCAAACTTGTGCCTCTGGACAGGGACGTCTCTGTGCAGAATGTTTCGAGTCAACAACATCCCAGGGCTCTGAAACATCACCGTTATCATTGCACGAGGCCACGGTGTAGTAAACTGAAGGTACAAAATAACTACCTTTTGCAGGCTCCTTGATTTCTTTAATGATCATCACTTAGATAAAATTAAGAAAAAAAAAAATAACGGACTGGTGGGGATAAACACAAAACATATTCACCGTGTTCAAACACTTTTGTGAGTATCAGGAGAGCTGCCCAAAGAGATGTTGTTATTATCGCTTCCAGCCTCTTTTCCCATTCGGATCCAGTACCTGCTGTATGGCTCGGGGAATGATTCCTCGATGCTTGTACTCGGCAGTTGCTCCCGTCATGGTGTAAGTTTTCCCAGCCCCTGTCTGCCCGTAGCACATTATGGTGCCTAGAAAAGATTCAAAAGCAAAAGAATAAACTCAGGAGGGAAGCTCTGCATTTCTCAAATGGAATATCAAAAGGGTCTCTCCCTCAGATCAAATCTCCACTTATTGTCAAAATAAATAAAAATAGCAACAAATCACCATTATAGCCAATTAAAGCTTCGGCCACCAGTCTCTTAGCCACAGTCTCATAAACCAGTTCCTGGGAGGCGTTGTGAAGGACAGCGTCCAGTCTGAAGGACCAGTCGGTCTGGCTGTTATTCACGACTCTTTTCTTGGCATCTTTTTTGATGTGTATATCTATGCTCTGAAACCCAAAAAGAGATGAAGATTATAACTTCAAAAGCCACAAAGAGTTTCAGCAGTTATTGTCTGAAAAAAAATCATCGAATCCCAGGATGGTTTGGGTGGGAAGGGACCTCAAAGCCCACCCAGTGCCACCCCCTGCCATGAGCAGGGACCCCTCCCACTAGCCCAGGTTGCCCAAAGCCTCATCCAGCCTGGCCTTGAACCCCTCCAGGGATGGGGCATCCACAGCTTGATCAGTTTTTCCGCTGGCAATTTCTTTTTCTCTACCTTGTTGTCTGGCCCAAACTTGATCATATCTTGAGCAAAATCGGTCGTTGGCTTGACTCGCACAAATGTACAGACTCTCTTTTCTATTGCATCCATTCTAACTAGAGAGGGGAAAAAAGGAAAAATCAACAATGTTGCTCTCCCTAAAATGAAACGTAATCATATTTCTTACGAAAAGGTGAGCTACAGAGTCGTCAGGTTCAAAAATAAAGTGCAGTTTCTATCCTTTATTAAAAACAACTGTGGGCAAACAGTTGCTGAAAATTTTTTCCAGCATTGTTCTGCACAGAAAACTGAGCATGTGGAACGAGAAGGGTCTTACTGATGGTGATTTCCTCTTGGGTATCAGGCACAGCAGTGTTTGACAGCACAACCTTTTCTTCCTCTTAGCCTTGCAAAGCAAAATCATTGCAGGAATATGCGATGGATTTTCTTTTGTCTAAGTGTTCTCAGCATGAAGGCACACGCAGCCTACTGTTTTGTAATGTCAGCTCCTGCAGAATGGTTTCAAGCTCCTGAGGCTTTGAGTGAGACACGTTCCAGGTGAAACCAAACCTGCAGGAGCTCAACAGCACCGCAAAACGCCGTGCAGGCTGTCAGTTTGCCAAAATTTCCAACGCTCTTGACAATTACCTTGTTTACAGTCTGTATGGAACATGCATTTCTCATCTCTTCGCAACCCCTTCTTTATACTGATATGCAAAAAAATATTTGGAAGTGCCTAATGGACAGCTCATCGTCAGGTTTCTAGAAGAAAACAAAGTCAGGAGCCTGACAACTCCTGGTGAAACTCTTGTGGTGCTCTCCTGATCGATGGGAATTCGGTAAGTTGGTGTCAATAGCAGGCAAGGGGAGAGGGCTTGTCCGCCGGAGAAGGACTCATGGGACTCATCCAGCAGCTAAAGCCCCACCTGAGAAACGTGGACCGAGTATTTTTAAATCCCTGGGACATGCAGATCCTGTGTTTGCTCTCAACTGTTTCCTACAGACAGCCTGTGCTCAATAGCTGGGTAATATCTAGCAAAAACTTCTAGTTTCAGAGAAAATCTTTTCTCTTTCTGGTATATTAAGTATTTTTATTTGTGATCTCTCCATCACCTTACCTGCTGTGATTGCTCTAAAAAGAAATGCGGAGATGTGAATTGAACCAAGACTTTATTTAAAACAGAGCTCAGCACTTGAATGACAAACCTGGCAACAGTGCCGCGGGCGCCTTGTCCTTTTCCTCGACCACTGCAGCGATGCCAACACAACGCCAGCTGCAGAATCCCAAATCTATAATCGCTCTGGTACCTGAGACAGTCTTCAAATAGATAAATGATCTGGGGAAAAGCACACAGATAGAGAAACACACAGATGTCACCATAAGGACGCACAGAAAGCTGCCAAAATATTTGCCAGCACTGCACAAATAAAGGCTGGAGCTGCAGTGGCACAAGCAAAATGGAAACACACACGGAGTTTTAGAGGTGGTGGCCAGCGTGGAAATGCAAATCCTCCAGTTATTGGGATTGTCTGAGATCACAAAACTCTGCTACACAAATATAACCCAGTGCTGGAGGGGTGTGTGCCTTATTTAGAATCATTTCGGTTGGAAAAGACCCTTAAGGATCATGGGGTCCAACCATAAATCTAATTTCTGCAAAGCTGCAGCAAGAAGCACAGCAGGAAAAAGGAGCAGAGGAAAATTTTAGGCACAAACTCGAATATGAATCAGAGAGAGACAGAAGAAATTCAGACCGCGTGGAATTTTCCTCACTGCAACAATGCCCATTGTTCGGTGTTGGGATAAAAGCAATTCCTCCTGGGAGTATGTATTGATGTGAGAAGATGGGAAGGAAACAGAGAAACATCTCTGGCAGACTCTGAAATGAGCTCTCCAGCTCATTCGTAATACCCCAAGCACCCAACCAATCTGAACATTAGTTGGGGTTTTTTTGCAGTACAAAGAAAACGATGGGTTTGTTGGTCAGCTAAGCAGAAATGTTTCTGGCTGTTTCCCTCATCCTCCCCCGGTTCAAACAATCAACGTGGAAAGGGTGAGAGGGGGACTTGCTGTGACCTTCGCTCGTCACTCAGGACCTGTAACACAAACCCAGCGAGGGAAGCAAACCGCAGGTCACAGCTTGGGCCGTTGGGTTTGAAGCTCTTTATGACAAGAGGCCAAACCATATTCCTGCTCAGAATGAATGGAAACACAGTTCTCTCTGTCACGGAGGCAGATGCCAGCAAGCCTACACAAGGATTAGCGCCCAAGGGAAATTTGAGATGGGGATTTTGGGGCTGTTTGGCACAGAAATGAGTCCCTGGAGCAGTGTGGGGTTTGGTTCTGCCTGAGAGATTCACGTTTATTCACCACAGACAGACAAGAGCTCGGGCCAAATCATAGAATAGAATCCCAAGATGGTTTGGGTGGGAAGGGACCTTAAAGCCCACCCAGTGCCCCCCCCTGCCCTGGGCAGGGACACCTCCCACTAGCCCAGGTTGCCCAAAGCCTCATCCAGCCTGGCCTTGAACCCCTCCAGGGATGGACACCGCCTGAGGTGGGGGGAACAAATCCTGGGGGCGGGGGGGGCAAGGCCCTGAGGAGTGAGATGAGGCCTTGAGGAGGGGGAC